CATTGTTGATGGTACGTACCGCTTTAAATCCCGGCAGTATGGAGTATGTGCGGCCAGATTCTTATTATGTTGTCTAAAAGAAGATTATGACAAGTGGTATACCAAACTGCAGGCTTCAGAATGTTCCGAATGCTCAGAATGACATAACAGATGGGATATCCATGATTTTCTACAGCCTGTGCTCATCATGGTCCCTGTGTGCTGGTTTGGATGGAGATAACTGTGGATGAGGAAAGAGAGAGGGAACGAGAGAAAAGCAGACAAAGTGGGAAAAGGAATCTGGAATCGAGAAATGTAGGAAACAGGAAAGGCAACACAAACTCCAGAACTTGTAAAACTGAACAGTGAAAACGTCTGTCAACATGGGGACATTATTGCAGGAAGCATCATTCAATGATGAGACGTGAGATACATATATCTGATTTGTAATAGAGGTAGGAGAACTCCCAATACAACGTATCCTCATACAACGGGTCATAAGATATACTACCAAAGTTACCCCTCATTTTTCATGCGTTTGCCTACGAAAGCCCGCAGCACGTCAATTTCGGCTCTTTACATGCATACAGTCTTTTCAAAATAAACTTCTGTCTTCACAGAAAAAAAAAGACTTAGTTAGGTTTAGGAATAGATCGCCTTTTGGGTGAGAATAACCAACGGAAGCTCCGCTACTATAGTACAGAAGTTACGTGACAGAAACATCAACATTGACTTCTCGTTTCACAAGGGGAACATACAGCAGTCTCCTGGCTAAAAGATCGCTGTTTTTTTGGACCCATCCATCACCCCTCCCACCCGCATGGTGTGTGATTAAGCGGTCTTTATACGTCTTAGTTCATAATTAGGTGGATAACATTCAAAAGAAATGTTGTGGGAGAGCTTCAAATTACAAAGCGTTTTTAGTGTGTTTTGGTTTTACAGCCTTTTAGTTTTGGCTCAGTCTCACCGCTCACATCAGCACTGTTTTCAGATGCAGCAGGCATCTGTTTTCATACTACCTACCCAAACGACAGACAGACAACTATAGCTAATATCCACAGTGGAGCATTTAGCAGCTAAAGAGCCAGACATATTTCTTAGGAATAGGTGGAGACCAAAAACAGAGCTCAAAGACGAGTGAATATTGGTAGCCAGGGACACGACTTCAATTAATGCTAATGTTGCTCTTCTGCTGGTTGTGCTTACTGTTTACTAGCATGTTGCATACAATGTTAGACATTTGCTTCAGCTTTATTAGATATTGTTACCGGCTGATGAGAATGCATTTCACACATTTTGGGGGGCATGACATTTCAGCTTCCAAAGTGGTGATAAAAAACAGCTTTAAAATACTATTGACAAAGAGAAGGATGAAGGATTGAGACGGCAGTAAGCAGACACAGAGATTGACTGCTAGATGACAGAGCTGACTTGTAAGTAGTTCTCTCTGACACCGTTAGAGCTGAGAGTGCGCCGATTGTTTAGTCTGAAGCCGAATGAACAAAAGAGCAGAATGAATAGACGGGTCTGATTCCCCCCGGCTTGATTGACAAAAAACCCTTTCTGATTGTGTTGGCGTGTCGGCATGTGCTTTCCACTGTCGTCACTGTAACGGTGAGAGAGGCCCTTGTCGTGGCAAAACAAACTCTGACCTTCAGTGTTGTCCTCTGTGGCTGGAATTAGGTCAGGACTGCCCCTTGTTTTGGGGAATAGAGAGCAGCGAAGAGGTCTCCCTGTGTGAACAGAAGTTTATGAGATGCTACAGTGACTTGGGGAATCCTTGCACAACCCATTCTCACTCCTAACTTGTCAACAATACACACGAAGCATCCTTTACTATACGTATGAGACACAGCGGGCTTTCAACTAACTCCAATGTAAACCCATCTGTGGCAATATTAGACGGTCAGAGGAACTGACGTAGAATAAAACGGGAGAAAGTTTGCTTTGGGTAGGAGGTCAGGGTGGATGTTTGGGTCAAACAAACAGGACTTTCACTAAGTCCTTGTTCGTGTCACAAGTCAACAGTTTCTTATTTTACCTTACTTTTGTTACTTAACTTTGCTTACTTATTTTACGTAACAGACATACTTATTTTGACCAGAACAGCTTATCCTCATACAACGTTTGTATGATATCCTACGAAAAGTTATTAATCATATTTGTGCGTTTTCCTACGCAAACCTGCAACTCGTGTCAATTTCCACTCGTTACATGCATACGGTCTTTTCAAAATAAACTTCCGTCTTGTCTTGAAACTCAGTTAGGTTAAGGCAACACAACTACTAGGTTAGGTTTAGGAACAGATCGTCGTTTTGGTTAAAATAACCACGGAAGTACTGTCACTGAAGTATGCTAAGTTACGTAACAAAAACATCAACATTGACTTCTCGTTTCACATGGGGAACGAACAGCGGTCTCCTGGCTAAAAGATTGCTGTTTGTTCAACCCATCCATGCCTTAGGGGCCTTTATATGTCCTCATTCAAGATTACATAGATAACCTGCGCAAACAAATTGTGGGATATCTACAAATTACGGCGCATCATTTTTCGTAGGTATTGCTACGAATGCTGGATGAAACCAGCCTGACCCAAACCACGATCTTTTCAACAAAAATAATGAGGAATTGTGGCAAAAAAAAGAGATAATTGAATGCAATCTCTTACGACACATTTACTTGAATCGGTCTCTTCTATTCTACACACACAATATGTGTTTTGTGTAAGCAGAGATGAGATGATACCTTCTCTTGAGGACAAACAGCTCTCTTGACCGCTCTGTACAAATGAGTTCAGTGTCCAGCCTTGTTATCCGTCAGTCCTGCCTCTATTTTAAGCCGCTCATTATTCACCGTCTTTGTTTCACTCTGTAAAGTGTAGGCACTCTCCCTCCTCCATGCAGTTAATAAGTGGGAGAGTGAAATTAGACATTTTGTGAGCTCCTCTTTCATCCAGGGTCGCTTTCATGCTGTTAAATTGCCCTTTTGGCTGTCACACAGTCTTTTGTGTTGGCGTAATCAGTTTAGCAGCAGTGTGCAATGAAATAATCTTAGATATTGGTGAATTCATATATACCAGTATGCAGCTATAACATAGTTTTAAGAGTACATGGTAAGAGGTATGTCTTAGATGGTTTGCTGTCATGATAGGCTTTTCAGAAGGGCTCACCATTTTTTCAATTCCATTTTCCATTTAACTTTAGACTGTGATTTTAGGATTCTCTAAAAAATAAAGCCTACAGTCAAACATGTATTTCTTTTCCTACGTCGGAACGATAGTTTGAATTACAAATAATAAGTCATAGCGCCAGTCACTAGCCCAAAATCCCTGAGCATTAGAATTTTTTTTGGTGCTCAAAGCATTGGAAGATTACATAAAAAAAACAAAAAAACATCAACATCATGTTCCAAATACAGTCCCACACCATGAACAGTTTACTCCGGTCGGTGGCCGGTGCTTGGTTTTCAACATGGCAGCCGGGTCACAAACTTTCTAATTTTTCAGCGAAACAGCAACTAAAAAATGTTTCTAAAAACATTTAAGGCCCAAAAAAGCCAATGCATTAACAGAATCTCAATTCATATTTGATCAGTTTGATTCGGAGTTCACGAGCTTCACCAGCAGTGATTGTCAGCTGCGTAAGAGACTCACTATTTGTTCAAAGTAACCAAAACAATACATTTGCATCATTCTACATGGCTCAAATCTGAACCCTAGACTGTGTAAAAGGAGTGGACATAGTCATCGTGTCACGCATTGGTTTGTGGACTGCCATTATGAAGCCTCGAGTTCGGCGATTTTGCCATCTTGGATTAAGGCCGTCATCATGTTATTTTTTTTGCAACCAATGTACGGAAGTTATCATATTTGAAATGCGGAAGAATGATGTAGAAACGGTAGCGGCAGTGGCCTGTCAATCACAGTAAGCCCGCTCTAAAGCATACTCTGCTTTATGGTCTATTTGACTCTAAATGGACCATCATTTACTAAATGAACATCATGCTGTATTGAAGAAGACTTGAAACTAGATATTGAGACCATAAACTCATGTTTACAATGTTTACTGAGGTAATAAATCAAGTGAGAAGGAGAGTCATTTTCTCATAGACAATCAGACTTATTTTTCCAACTGGAGGAGTTGGCGCCTGCTGGTCAGTAAAGACAATGCAGGTTATAAGACACTTCCGCATCGGATTCACTCGGCAGAACCGGAGGTTGCCCCCTGATCTGAACATTTAGGACTGTGCCTCTCGGTGTTTCTAGACCTGCAGTTTGTCTGCTTTGTTCCGATTCATGGACTTATTTGTTGCATTTTCCGCTCGGTTTGTTTGTGTTCACACAGCAACATTCAAGAGCGGTTCAAAAAGTTGTGGACAAACTGTTCTCTCATTGGTCAGAAAATTTAGCGGGAAGATTTGCCTCAAAACATTTCCTCCTCTTTCTTTTTTTTTCTTCTTCATTATGGAGCACAGGCGGTGTGTGTTGCTAATTGTTTTCATTGCCTTTATGTGATTAGTTTAGTAGTGTCCATTAAATGAACATAATATCCAAGCAGCTAGACTGCGACTAGAAAACGATGCCCTATTACATTTTATTAGAACACATGCCTCCTCAAGAGTTCGCCGCCGGAGATAGGCTTTGATGTGTGCATACTGCCACATACTTGCATGACAATTGTTTTTCAGATGGCGCATCAGGTAGACCTGATTTGATTATATTTATAGGCCTGGTTGTTTTGGATGGATTGCATTCTTGCTGTAAACAAACCACTCCAGAGTACGAGTGGAGGCCATTGAAGACCATCATTTGTAGATATCAGCCCACTTGTTTTGTCAAGTGTCCGAATTGCTGTGTTCACATGTGCCTAAAGAAACCGAACCTGGGAATCAAAACGGTACAGGTTTCGGAACAACTGGTCCTTTGTCATAAGAAATGGACTATCTGAATAAATCCAGCTCAAAAATGTAACCCTTTTCGCATCTTCAGCCTAACCTGTGTCTATTTGTCTCTACTTTCCCAGCGGACATCTCCAGGATGTGTGATGTGGACGTGTCCCCGGACCCCACCAGTCCCACCCTGTACGGTGAGTCCTCGGACAAGTACTACCATGTGGACCGCTGGCAGAAGCTCCGCACTGCTGTCCGCAAGCTGGAGTTCTGGGAGAACTTCACCGCCGAGCTGATCGGGAGTGGCTTCTTCTCCAAAGTCTACAAGGTATTCCCTCCCTCCTCCAGCCTGTGTTGCCTTGTTGCCGGCCTATGTATGAGCTGCCATCAAAGCTTGCTTTGTTCCAGACACTAATTGGGACATTCTTGCCATTCCGTGATTGGCCCAATGGCTTTGGAGACCGTGGGTGCGCAATGCTCATCCTCAGATGAGACCTTATATAACTCCTTATGTGACACCACCGGTGCTGGAGTGGTGCCACAGGGAGAGCTGATTTTCATACATTAAGGCTTTGTCCATGATGAAATGAGCTAGAAAGAGGCCACAGGATGGGCAAGAGATGCGATCAAATAAGATCGAGAAAGACAGCTTTCGTTCTCGGATTTCGGACCGATTTTTAAATTACATCCACAAAGAACACACACTTTCAGAATCTTACTGTTGTCTCACCGTCTCCGCTGTATATCTACTAGTCTCCCCATCTCTGCTGCCCCCAACTGCTGCTATTGCCGCTTCCACTATCTCTGCCTTTAATGTCCTTCAGGTGATTCACAGCACCAGTCGCAAGGTGACGGTGGTGAAGATCTACAAAAACGACGTGGACCAAGACAGCATCGTACGGGAGATCAGCCTGCTGCAGAAACTCTCCCACCCCAACATCGTCAGGTAACAGCCCACCCATCACCCTCTTCTTACTGGAGCTTTTGTGCTTTGTCCAAAGGGTTAAATTCTACTCAAGCAAAAAAAGCTGCAGTTTATCTTCTCCGTTTTTACAGGCTCGACACTCTCCCACACATATACTCTCTCTTTTTCCACTCCACAGTCTTAAGCTTCGTAGCAGTATTTATGGCTATCAGAGTTACAGAGTATAATGGGAATACCTTTTAAACATATATTCTTACCTCAACTACACTAAATAGTTATACTATGGTTCATACTATTACGTTGATAATTGCTGAAAACAACGCAAAAATCCACACAACCCTCTAAATGTATTTCAATGAGATTAAATATTTCAAAGAGTTTAATCTACTGATTACTGAGCCACAGTAATCAGTCGCTAAATCTAGCAAGAAAGTCTTACAGTATATATATATATATATATATATATATATATATATATATATATATATATATATATATATATTTATTAAAACATTTTTTGTGAAAGCATTTGATTTATTGGTTGCTGTTGGGATTTCAACAAATATGAGAATTTTTTACAAATATAACAAGAAATGTTTTTGAGAAACATTACGGACCGTAGCTTTAAGGAGTTTAAAACACTCTTCTTTAAGTTATTGTACATATAGTCACATGGCCTTGTACATATATAAAACTGCTCCAATAATGTCATTAAAGCAGCATTTATGTATATAATTTACTACTATTCCTATTATTTGGACTTGTGTTTGTGTCCATCTGATAAAGTCTTTCTCTTTTAGCTCTATTTTAGTCTCCGCCGTCTGTTTAGCTGCGAAATGTTTCACTAGCTAGTTGCTAACTTTGTCTGTCTGATGTTTGGCGCTGTGTAGTTGGTGTACAGTGGTGTTCTCAGAACCTTTTTCCGTTCAAAACAAAGTTGATGAAAACGAGGTTGGCGAGAGCGGTGAGACTGAACCAAAAACAACAATGTTACTGGTCGTAAAATCAAAACGCTCCATAGAACTGAGTCTGCAGAGATATCCATCACTACCTTACATGTAGTCATTCGATCCATTGTTTGTATTAAATTATTGATTAGAACAGCTTAATAAATTTCATAAAAAACCTATTGGAAAGGGGACCAAAAACTTGCAAGTACCATGTTGCTTAGTGTATGTAGTTTGGTAGTTGACCGAAGCACAGCCTCGCTGCAGCTGCATTCAACATAAATATAATGACACCTTGGGGCTATTTAACACTGGGCCTGTTGGCTACAGCAGTTACATAAGGTGTGAAACCACGCGGACATGTTTGCCCAAGCAATCTTATTTTAGCCATTTAGCAAGGACACAGCAGTAAGGTTATCAGAGCAGCTTATCTGCTCACCGTTCTAGGCTGTGGTGAAAGCAGTGCCCATACTGTCAGTACCTACGTACACACACACACACTAACCTGCTTTGATAATAAACTGCAATCAGGTGTCAACCTGTCTGGATGTTGGAAATTAATAGGTTTGAAAATCTACAGTACGAAATGGACAAGTCACGTTCAGTCAAGTTTTTAAACTAAGCTAAATATTTCCTAGTTACCTTGTAAAATCTCAGTCACACATTTGGATGCAAGTTATTAGTTATATCCCGACACTATTGTAGATGGATGTAAGACATCTGTCTCTCTGTGTGCTGAATCATGGTTGTGAAGACAGTGTCTTAAGAACTGTATGCAATAAAAACAAAATCCTTTAGCCAGAGGGTTCACTATATAAATGTATACATATCATTTTTATTTAAATAGATTTTTTTATAGATTTTCTTAAAATAACTACGATTTCCGAATTGCTGTTGTTACTGTTCTTTTTATGGCAAAACTAACGGCAAATTTCAATAATAAAGTCGTCCTTATCAAATCTTACTTTCTTAAGGATATGCCTGATGATTTTCTTTATTCTTCTTATTCTCAAGAAATTTCAATAAAAAATGAATCCAAATAACAATTATTATCTCAGTATATTTGTGTATTTATTGTTAAAAACACATCAATCACACTGTCGCATTGGGTGACAAGTTCCCTCATGACCATGAACACACACACTGTAATTGATTTTTGACTCAGTCTTACATACACCGCCCTGCTGCCCCAAATACTCACTAGAGCACTAAATGTGGATTAATCCACCGCTGAAAGTAGTCCCTAGCAAATGCATGATTCCCTCTTGTTTGAGTCATGTTTGATTAAAAATTACAGCGCCCAGCAGTTTTAGAGAATTACTGAGCCCAGTTTTTAAAGATTTTAGTAGAAATGAACGGCATTGGGGCTTAGAGCCAAAGACAAGGTAGGAAAGTCGGATAGTATGAGACAGACTGTTGTTTGTGGTCATTTTCTGGGATTTGTTGTCAGTATGAAAAATATCATTAATCTTATCCTTTCATGAAGGTCCTAATCAACTTATGTTAAAATATGGTGACTTTCTGCTGAATTGTTTTTTATGGACGCTAATGTTTTAATCATTTCTTTATTCAGGGACCAAAAGCTGCTAGCATGGCAACTATTGTTCCTGTGTAGCTGTGTGCCGCGGGGCTTTGAGCTAAATGCTAACACACTCTCATGGACAAAGCTAACATACTAATGCTAAGCAAGGATGATATTTACCGTGCTCGCCATTTTAGTTCAGCGTGTTAGCGTGCTAACATGATGCATTCTAGATTTCCTTGAGAAACTCAACTAAGAAGTTACGGGACAAGTAATAAACACATTTCCTCTCCTTCTAGATATCTGGGAATCTGTGTCAAAGAAGACAAACTTTATCCAATCTTAGAGGTGAGTCCCACGCCTTTTCTTTTTACTTTTGCACCTTGTGAGTCATGGTGGGTGTGCATGCTCGCTGGCTTTGTTCTGAGTGTGGAAAAACAGATTACACTGATAGGAGTTGATAGTGATAAAGAAATGGTGAGCGTTTATTGTGTAACCAGGGTTCATTGCTTCAGAGTAATGACTGTATATGACAGGAAATTATACGTTCACGTAATCTGATATTTTTGTACTGTCCACCTATATTCATATTAGTGTATGGAATCCAACAAATGCATTATTACAGTTTTACTGCTCAGTTTGGATTCATGTGTTTTGTGACAGTGTAACCTGGTCTATGTTGGCTGTGTCAGTATGTGAATGGTGGCTGTCTGGAGGAGCTTCTGGTCAGGAAAGATGTTCCCCTGTGCTGGAGAGAGAAAGTGGACCTGGCCTGCGATATAAGCAGAGGAATGATCTACCTGCACTACAAGAACATTTACCACAGAGACCTCAACTCCAAGGTAAGACCCTCGGCCTTTTGTCCCACTCTGTCCTGTTACTTAGCCGCTGCAGTGGTCTACTGTCCCCACAGGGATCATTAAAGTTTTACTTCAACCACCTCCACGCTGACCTCACAGCAGGATGCACTGTAGTTGATACTTAAATGCTGTCGCTCAGCAGCCAAAATATAAGACCACTGGTGAGAGATCGAGAACTTGAGAACAGAGAACTTCTAAGTGCTATAATTCCAAGAAATGCGTCACTTAAACATTTACGGTTCTGTAGTCTGAAACATCTAACCAGTGGAACCAACCAATGGCCTAGGATAAGGGGCCGACAGTGAACCATTGTTGCATGTTATTCCCCATCTCTTTCTCATCTAATTACCGATCTAATAAAGGCATAACAAGTCTCCAAAAGATATTTTCAAAAGAATCCAACAAATAAAACTACTTCCAAATTGATAAACCTAAATAACAAAGTATAGAAATAAAAGGAATGGAAAAAAATATTAAATTTAAATTTTGAAAATATATTTTATGTGTACTATGAAGAAATAAAGAAGAATAGGAAAACATGAAGCACAATTAGAATATAGTTTCACTTTGAAAATAAATTATTCAGTTACATTGAACACCTTTCCCGTATTTACTTCACCCAGCCATATGCATACACATAATCATGTGCAATTATTTACATGTACAAAATCAGCCCCGACTCCCTGTCTGATTAGCAAACTTTGTGTTGCTCCCGTTACACAGGTTAAACCCAGCGCAGGGAGCGCAAAGACCAACGCCGGCCGGCTCTCAGAGTTTGGTTGGATTTTGTGTATTCTTACCCTGCTGTTAGTTAGTAGATGACTTTTTATTTTAATGACTGATGACTGTAAATTTAGATTGTATGGACCCAGTATCATTTGTTTGGACCATGTGGCTACATCGATTAGTTTTTTCTCGTGCCTTGAAATCCTGACATGTTGGCAAATTCTTCAATCACATGAGAATCGGAGTGCATCACTTACTTAAAGGGGAACCTAATTGTCTCCAGAGGGAGCTATGTAAAGTCTGATCAATGTCCTCAAGTGATGTCACTTGAGTCAGCTTTAGTTGGACTACAAGTTTGAACATATCTGTGACTTAAGGCTACATGAACTGCTACTAGCATAACACTAAATGGTAAATGGACTTATACTTGTATAATACCTCTTCTAGTCTTTCGACCACTCAAAGCGCTTTAACACTACATGTCATCATTCACCCATTCATACACTGATGGCAGGGGCTACCATGCAAGGTGCCACCTGCCCATCAGGACAAACTAACATTCATACTCATTCATACACTGATGGCACAGCCCTCGGAAGCAATTTTGGGGTTTAGTGTCCAGCCAATCCTCTGATTGACGACCCGCTCTTCCTCTGAGCCACAGTTTTCCCAACTCAGCCACTACTGAATATCCGAACAAACTGTTGACAATTGAGTTGCATTTTGGGTAATGTTGGCGATTTTGACAAGAGAGACAAGACTGTATGGAATACAAATGCTGCATTCATTTTGATACCTTATTTAAAAACTTAGTGGAGGACTCTTTTAAAAGCTCTATAGATTACTGAAAGAGAAGCGTTTTGTCCACAGAATTTATTGTGCTTTGGGTGAACCGGCTGGTAAAAATCACCTAGCAACACAACAAGTGCAGTGCAAAACAGCTTCGTGCTGTGATTGACACTGGAGGTCCTGCACCTCTCAGGCCTTTTCACCGACATTTTGTCACAGTAGGAAAAAGCACAGGTGTAACTGATCAAATCAAAGATGGCTGGATTCCATTTAGCTGCTTCGGTTTTAGGGTCCCCGAACACTCAGATTGAATGGAGCCATCGTTGATGTTATTGGTAACACCCGTGATTTTTTCCTACTATGACAAGTCAAACTGTCCCACCCTACAAGTGCAATGAACTTTGGGATATTATGTATTCTAACTTTGAAGGAGGCTACCCAAAAACAATGTCCGAGCTTCATGGACCATTGATGAGGGATCATGTAGATTTGAAAGACCCGATGGCAAAGCTGGAAGACCGTGGTTTAAGTGAGCCCAGTTCCTCCCAGGACACATTTTCTTCCAAACAAATGTAATTTGTGGTTTGTTTGGAGTCTCTTTAACTACCAAATGCTTTGGGTTTGTCCCAAGGGAAAACCAAATGAGTGCCAAAGTTTACACAATTACAGTCAAATAAGCAAAGTAAGGCACACCTCAACTTACAAAGTCGACCATTTAAAAAAAAAAAAACAGCACAAAGAATGAACAGATTTCTATCCCTCAATACTTGTTACATTTAATAGTTTGATCGTTTTATTGTCATGTTGAAAAAACAATATACTGACAAAGATTAGGCTGTATTCTAAAATGACTGTCATTCTCTATATTCAGTATTTTTACTTTAATACAGTAAAATACATTTTACTGTTAACTGTAACAATCATGCTGGGTTTTCAGATCCTCATCCACATTCTCATGCGTGGGTACGCCTGTGTGTGTGTGTGTGTGTGTGTGTGTGTGTGTGTGTGTGTGTGTGTGTGCGCTCTGCGTAGGTGCTGTCTTTCTCTTCCGGTTGCCAGGCTTCACAGAAGAAACAGCCAGCAATTCAAAGAGCCATTCGCTCTATTGTCATGCTAATAGATGGTTGCTAACTAAACCGCTGTTGCTGCACACATAATTTCGTGGATTGGTGTGAGAACATGAGGGGGCTCTCACCACGCGCGTCACCCAGAGGCAACTCATTTGGCTCTGTCCCCTGTTCACTTTATCGACGAGGCGGCCAAAGTTGATTTACGTCACACTCTGGCTACAGAGACTGAATTGATCCGTCCATAATGTCGGTCCCGGGTGACTGGTGATAATTGAAGGAATTATCCTGACGGAGTTAGCGGCTAGCTGGGGAACAAAGTCACAAAACTAATGCAGTTAAACAGGCTAAGTTGGTAAAGACTAAAACACAGAGTGAATAATGGACTTAGATTTGCCAGGCGGTCAGAAACATGAGTCCGGATAAATGCAGATGTTGTTATGTATTTCAAAAAATATCATTTAATGCAGCATTAATTACATTTTTTTTAACCCGGACCCTTATTACCCATGTCTTTATGTCTAAGTGACTAACAGGTAACCTGACCCACTAGAGCCGCCATTAGAAAGTGTTCGGAAAAAGGGGCAGGCACTTTCAAACGCTACTTGGCAGGTGATTGGGTGAACCATCTGTCAATCAAACTCTTTCCGAAGCCAGTCGGGAGGAGAGCAAAAACATATTTTCCATCAAGGAAAGCCTTCAGTGTCGTTCTTTGCTCTTCTTTCAGCCATGTTTCAATGAAACTTCGATTTTGATATAATTGATGACCGTTCCAGCATCTAAGCTAACCATCGTCGTTTAGAGTGAATAGTCTTCTCCCTGTGTCGTCTCGCACACGCTTAAGCCACGCCCACAGCTGCCAGTTAGCTCCTCGCAGGACACTGATTGGTCCATGTTCTGGATTTTTTCGTGACATGCGATACTGTGATGCTTGTGTGATCTTGTGAGAATCCAACTGCAGTGCAATCTAAATCAATAGGGACCATTGAAATGGGTCCAGTATAGATGGAGAACGCTGCAGCTGCTAAACGGGCTGCAATGTAATCGCTCGAGTTAACTCCTCACCGTCAATGCGTGTCCACTGAAAGTGCTTGTTTTTATCACTGACTGCCTCTGATTGTTGTTATAAGTGTCTGACAACATTATGGAAATGACGCAACAGAGAAATAAAAGCTTTCCGTTTGTTGTTGTTGTCATGTGACTTGTTGCCAGAAGATGGTGGAAACGTGAGTGATAGTTGAGCGGAGAAGAGAGCTGGTGTTGCCAGAGTTTGTCGAGAAAGTGTAGCTTAGTGTTTTTTAAAAGATTTTCAATGACAGGTCTGAATATTTAGCTGATTTCCACAATGTGGATGCAACAGGAGATTTCAGAACAAGCGATATTTGGTTAGACACATTGACATCCTGGATCAAGCAGAAGGTAAAGAAAAACGTTTTATTTCTCTGTAGGGTTCTTTCCGTGATGACACATATAACAATCTGAGCCTGTCAGTAACAAAAACGATAACTTTAGGTGGATGTACATTACATTTCCACTAGTTTAGCGGCTGCAGTGTTCTCCATCAATCCTGGACCAATTTCAAAAACTGTTGAAATGAAAAATAGGGGTCTAGGCTGAAAATACAGATGTTGACCCTTGAACCACATGAAGACCGTGGCTGCTAGCTATTTCCTGCTGGGCAACTTTCCCGTCCTGAGGGCATCATTTCCTTCCATGAATATTGACTATTTTAAATAAAGCCACTGTGTGAATAAAATTAATTTTATTAGCTTACAATGTAATTGTCTCTTTACTCATGATCCCTTACTGATCTCATTAGGTTTGCCTTCGAATATATCACAGTAATATCCTTATCTTTTAGTTATAACATGTACACCAACATATGAAGTTATCAATCAAACAACTTTAACAGAATTCTATTAAAGACCACAGCAGATTCATCCCAAACTAAATGTTGGGAGAACTCTGTTCTTTATATTACACTTTTTGGGTAAAGAAAGTTTAAGTCATACACTGCAACTCCATTTAAGTAGCTGAACATGTGAAGCCTCTGGCGCCAACATTTTAGGACGTCCAAAAGGCAAATTACAATAAAAAGCCCCCCAAAACAATGCAACCATTGTGAATATGCCTCAGTAACTCTGCAAGATAACTTGAATCAGAGTTTAAGCTCCTGGAAAAGTTGAGGCCCCTTTTTAATTAGCGCCTTTTCTCTCCGTATCTGCTAACGCGTTCAATTTCTGTTCCCCCAAAACTGTTGCTTTCGCTGGCAGAGAGGGCCGGGGCTAAATTTAGAGTGGAAGTGTGGGACTGGGAGGTTGTTTTTTTATTCCCAGGAGAGCCTCGTAATGACAGGCTACTGGATGGAAAAAGGATTCTGGTGCAATGGGAGCCAGATGCAGAGACACAGAGAACCTTTAAGATTTCCGTGCACCCAAATGACATTTTCTGTCAAAGACTTGTATTTTGTGCCCCTTTCTATAGTAATGAGAGTGATGCACACACAATCGACATCCCACACATACATTATACACTCATACACACACTTGGGGGCCACCCACCTGTAACCACAGCGCTCCCACCGTCTGCCTCTCATCACACCTCCAGCTCTCGGCCTGAGGAGTCTGTGAACCACGCTTCATATTTTTCCACAGAGATGATGAACTTTTCACTACAAATCTTTTTCTTTTTTTTCATAGTATTTTATTCAGTAAGACAAGACTGAACATTGGGAACATGACGGGATTAACACAGGGCAGAGCATGCATTGGAGTACAGTGTCAAAGGAAAAGCAAAGGTTTGATCCTAGAGAGTGTGTGTGTGTGCGTGTGTGCGTGTGTGCGTGCATGCGTGCGTGCGTGCGTGCGTGCGTGCGTGCGTGTATTAGAGAAAGGTGTTAGATCCTGGGGTTCTCTGGCCCGATACGTGGCTACCTACTGACTGAGCTCTCTATTAAAAGATTGGCGAGCTGATGTTCTGTTGAGGAAACTCGCCTGGCTTCTGCTAACTACCGTTACTCCTGACGTCTACCCTGCTTCCACCGGTAACGTGCACTCGGCCGAGGGGCCACCATGGCCAGGCGCTTCTACCTAGTCGCGTCAGTTATGGCAGCTTTCCTCTTTTGGATCCGGGCTCTTGGTAAATTGCCAGGTTAGGTTTTAACGGCTAGGGTTATAACTAAAACCGTAAGGGACTGTTAAGTGGACCGGTCACTAGGATAACCATTAAGAACTCTTGTTGTTAACATACAATAGATTTAACCTTTTACTGCCACGAGGAACTTCTACTACTTCAGCAAATGAATTCTCTTGACAAATTTAATTTAAATGCAGATTAGATATTTATTGCAGGTTATATTAGCAGGGGCACAGCTACAGCTCACATAATATAATACTATACTTGATTCGATCAGGTTACAATTTCTTCTTAAGTTATACTCATTCATTTTCGATGCCAAGGCGGCTCGGTGGAGCTGGATTCACGATGTAGTAAAAAGTCCTTTTGGGGTTTTTAGGAGCGAAGGCCAGGCCTGACCTTCGGCTCCTCCTGCGCGGCCAACGAAGTCCGTTCAGCGATTCCTCAGGCTCAGCACAAAGTCTTTAGGGCGGCTGCGTCTATCTGTTGTCCGGTTGTTAAGTCAAACAGGGGGGAGAGGAAAATCTCCGTCTTTCAATCTTTGTCCAGGAACGGCTGTCTTCTTTCCATGAACAGAGACGAAGTTCTCCGATGCGGCTGTCGAGGTCCAGTGTTTCCTCCGTGGAGCACTTGGGTGGCTCCCGCGTTGAATCCCCTCTTGCTATTTGCTAGTCTCTCTTTTTATAACACTTTGAGCTCTCTCTCCTCCCTCCTCCCCAACACTCCCTCACTCGGCGTGTGATTAACATGACATCATTGATTATGTGTATGTGCTGCGAACAACACCCATCTTTCTGTGTGTGTGTGTGTGTGTGTGTGTGTGTGTGTGCTAGACACACCTAAATTCCCTTGGTGGATGTTCTCACTTCCTCAATGTTCGAGCGTGTTTCAGGTTACACCCGTGTATGTGTTCGGACAACATCTGTTATGATCTCAGCCTTTAAGGCCCCCACCCTGCTTACATCAGCTCTTTCCACATACACACAGACTTCACTTTACTCAGTTACACATACATCATTATTATCAGTTTTACATTTGTTAAATCACTTCATTATTCTTATGTTATACATACTTGCTTTAACATGATTATTAGATTTCATCCTTTACTCATTATATGCTTTGTGTCCCTTTAGCCTACTTTCATATCGAACTGTATTCCTTCATTTAAGGCAGCTTTCCTGGGATCTCAACCCTCTTTTTTGACAAAGGGCTGGGCAGCATGTTTTATAGGATTTTATGTGTGATTGTGTAGAAAAAGGGGGAGTGGTTTAAAAAAAATCTAAACAATGAGATACATTTAAATCAAAATTACGCCAATTAAACCATTGGGAGATATGCTATATATATATATTTTATTACAAATCTGATAACAGCTGGCCAATCAGTGTGATGGAGGCTACCCTCTACAGTAGCACACAGGCAGCCCAACGGATTCCTCCACATGGGGTCTGGGTGAATTATTTAGTGTACTGGAAACAGATCCTTTGAGCTGGCTGATAAGAGCAGAGGCTAAAGAGCAGATGGATGTTCACTTGCTAACAATGCAATGGAGGCCCAACTAAAGATCAGGACTATTACAGACAACGTGGACAAAAGATGAACTGCTGATGCTCCCTGCTTCGGCATATATCAAACCTCACACTGCCCTCTGTTGGTAAACTATAACATTGCAGTTGCATTACTATTATTCTTTTCTTCTCTCCTGTCCGTGTTTGTCCAGAACTGTCTGATCAGGGTGACATCTCGGGGTCGGGAGGCTGTGGTCACTGACTTCGGCCTGGCCAGGGAAGTGGTGGAGCTGCCGGTCAAAGACCCCGGCAGGAAGCTGTCACTGGTGGGCTCGGCCTTCTGGATGGCCCCTGAGATGCTCCGAGGAGAGCCGTATGACCGCAAAGTAACAGACACACACACACACACACACACACACACACACACACACACACACACAAACTCCCTCCTATTTCAGCTGGATGCTCATTAACGTTGTGTCGACATCATTTGTTGCAAACCTTGGAAACATGGAAGTCACATTGATGGACAGAAAGTGAGATAAATATGAATGTTTAATTTAGATTAAATGTTCACTAGTGTAGGTTCAGATAACCTGAATTTACAACACTGTTCTTATATAGTCATGTGAACAGGTATCAAGTCTTAAAATATATATAACAGTCTTGGAGATTGAATTGAATTTAATGATAGATTAATGATTGTTTTTCAATGTCAATTAATCTACTGGTTATCTTCTTGATTAATCTATCAATTCTTTGGCAAAAAAACTGTGGAAAATGCTTTTTACAATTGCCTAAATCCCAACAACGTGTCTCCAAGCTCCAAACAGTCCAAAAACCCTCAAATGATCTTATGTTCTGTTATCAAAATAGTTGCTACATTGTGTTACATGTCTTATTAGTTATATTATTCAATAGAAGTATATTTTTGCTGGTTTTCAAAGCAACCAATTTGTTCGGGATTTGTTTGAGGCCGACCTCAGTTATTGCATCATATGTTACTTGTTCCAGGTGGATGTTTTCTCCTTCGGCATCGTACTCTGTGAGATCCTGGCCCGGATCCCTGCCGACCCAGAGATACTACCCAGGACACAGGTAGCGATGCATTAGAAAGCCTTTATGACAGCAGAAGGGACATCACATTGGCATATTATAATTCATATAAATGGTGTGCCATGCAGCCAGCTGATACTAATACTAGGCTGCACTGATAATATTCAATTCATTGTTTTGTGTGTAAAGGATTCAAAGATTTCAGGATAATTTGCTATAGGAGAAAAGCATGAAAAACAACAAAACAAAAGCAGTAGAAAACCCTCATTTTAGTGTCCCAGACCTCACGGTGACGTAAATGAGGTTTAAAACCAAAACAATAATATTATATGAAATTGAAGAAAACAGCAAAGCGCCACATTTAAGTAGCTTGGACCAGCGAATGTGTGGCATTTTTGATCGATCTGTGATTTAATACTCATGTCTTTGACCAAAACCTTCTTCAATGGAAGTTGCTCATGAGTCACAACTAAGTACAGAACTTTGGTCACATGATAACAAGTTACATTATCTGATGTTATGGTCGAAAGCTCTGAAAATAAAAACTAGTAAGTGAGTTTTAAATATTTTATCACAGAACTGTGATGAATCTCTCTGTTAATCGATTAATTACCTAATCATTTCAGTACTGGATGATATTGCTCCATTTTTGTTGATCCATTTCATTTGATGTTTTCTGATCTGGATTTGTTGTGGAGCTGATCTCTGTACTACTTGTCCAGGGTTGCAATCTGCAACCACACTGCTAGATATCACATAATCCTACACTCTGGTCCTTTGAAGGAATTTGGGTCATTATGGGAAATACGTTATTTGTTATCTTGACGTAAGTCCACTGTCATATCTGTCCATTAAAAAATGAAGCTACAGCCAGGAGGCAGTTATGTTAGCTTAGCATAAAAACTGAAAACCGGGGGGAAACAGCTACTGGCTTACTCCAAAATTCATAAAAATGCTTAGGTTATTAATTAACATTATGTATCTTGTTGGTTTATTCAGTACACAAAAAAATTTAAAGAACTGTACAAAATGATAATTTGTAGTTTTATGTCGTGTAAATTTGTTGTTATCAACTTATTCCATGCTATGAGAAAGACATCATTTATTGTTCCAGTTCCAGCACTTGGATGTGTTGAACTGGACACATCTTTGGTTGGTGCAGTGAAATGTGCTCACTAGTTGTGCTCACGCTGCAGTGACTGTTGATGTTGATGTCTTTCAGGACTATGGGCTGGATGTGGATTTGTTCAGGGAGCTGGTGAATGACTGTCCTCAGCGTCTCCTGGAGTTAGCAGCCAGCTGCTGTATGGTAGGTAGACGGAAGAGCTTACATATACAATAGTAAAACAAAAACAAGGTCCGCATGAAGCCTTGTTGAACAAAAATGCAATGTCAATCAAAAGGTACAAGCCCGGTATTAATGTTGGAAGACAAGTGAAGAAAACTACTAAACATGAAGTATTAGCAAATATAGACATAGAACATGTGTTTTATCCTGCTATTTAATGGCATATATAAATACCAGTGGCGGGCCGTGCATTTTATACCTGGGCCTTCTGTGCTGTCCTACTACAGTTGAATAACCTAATTATGAGCCACAGCTATGGTTATTATTTGTTTCTAGGGATGTAATAATACACATATTCGTATTAAACAGATCTGCTAGCTAGCTTTCTGTTTGACAAAAGTCACGCTGGCCCACTGACCAATCACGGCGCACGTTAATGCAGACGTACTTAGCAGGCTACCTGGGTAGCAGTGGCACGTCAAAGAATACGCCCAACATGTCAAACTAAAGATCTGATTGGTTGAAGACTATGACAATCAACAATAACGTCCCCATATACTTTAATCTGCAAAGTCTACCTAGCGGACCTCGGGCCTCTCTCCTTACATAGAGACATAGAGGCTGAATCTGATTGGATGAAAGCTCTCCTTAAAACAAGCTGTGCTGGAAGCAGCGCTGCAGGCTGGAAGCAGAGCAACAGAGGAAGACAGGAGCTGTGCAATGAGAAAATAAGCTAATGGCAAAAAAATGACAATACTGTATTTGTGTATTTGTGAAAAATTATTAAATTATAAAATAGCTATAACTTTGTGATTCTGTTTAGGTCAGCAGAGAAGGCTTAGCTGGCCCTCATGGCCCACCACCGATAAATACATATATATGTACATATACTGTATATGTACATATATGTGTGTATATATACATATATATGTGTATATGTATTTATAAATAGTTATTTTATCATTTTAAACTTAAAAAGTTATCAAAATCAGAGTTGGTTATTCCCAAACTTGCAAACTCGCACTCTTTCTCTTAAAACTTTGAGTCTCAAGCCAATAACGGGTAACCCTGACGACATAATACAGTGTATCTTCATGCAACGTTTTACATATCTTTGGAAAATGTATTTCTCATTTCTCGTGCATTCTCCTACGTCCAGCAACACAAGCACCAGTGTGATCGTGCAGTGCAGTCAGAACTACTTCCCCAGAAGTAGACACCGCCTCACAGAGCCAGTCTCCTTTCCTCCAATCAGGTGGAGTCCTTCAGACGGCCGGCGTTCACAGAGCTGCTGGACGAGTTGGGAGAAGTCGGCGAGAGTCTGGAGCCGCCATCAAAATCCGAAGAGACTGCAAGCTGAGTCGTCTGCCCCGGAAAACCCTTCCACCCATCCATAGTGTCCGGGAGTATTTGGTCTCTGTCTGGGACTAGAAGCTAGACTTGGACCCCGAAGCCCTCGTTGCATCAATCTCCTCTCCTTACTGCACCCACACACGAGACCACGGCTGAACTCGTCTCAACCGAGGCGGTGCAGTTATGCTAGATGTGTTTTTTGGAGGGTAGTGGAAAGTCTCCTGGCTTCTCGTGGACTCTTTGCTTTGACGTTTTGTGTACAGATGATTCATAGTTTGACTCACAGGATGGAATGTACAGTATGTTTTGTTTTTTTTGTCTTATCCTCTCTTCCTTCTGTTCTGTGTGTCAGGTTTGTTTGTCACCGATGATCAAATCTGTCAATGTGCTTTCTGCCTCTTCTATCTGCTCTTAAACAAACCGGTGGACATCGCTTCATAAAAGATGGGACGCATGAAATACACGAGGAGGTTTAAAGTTGTCTCTGTATACTTTGAGGAGTTGAACAGAAACTGAAATTTACAGAAACAGTTGAGGTTCACAATATATGCTCACGCTCATATTTCATGGTCTCATCTCAAGTTATTTATCATATATACTATTATTATCATGTATAATTGCAGTTATATTTGTCTGGAATGACACTGAAAACCCACCTGAAACATATCAGTTTTTCAGGAACGAAGAAAACAAACCCTAACCCTTTATTTAGAGTAATGACTATGCATGTTGGAGTTATTAAAGAACTATACACATCTCAACAATGAAATCATAAAAAAAGTGGTCGTTTCAACAGTGATGTGCACAAATGAATGTCCTCATCTCTATTTTGTCATTGTTACTTTGAACTGATCATGTGCATGTAAACATTTTAAGCTTCTTTTCTTTTGTTCCCAACTTTTTAAATTCTGGCACCTTTCTTGGGATTTAAAGGGTCCACATTCCTTTGAGTTTACCAGTATTTATTATTTTACGTTTTGTGTCGTGTCTCTGATTTTCTTTCAGGCAGCTGCAATGCAAAATTAACTTTCACAAAAGCTACATTTGGTTTCTATCTTATTGAATTCATTCCAAAATTTGAGTTAGTTCTCAAAATTCAGAGATACAGTTTTAGGTGTATTGCACATAAATAAATAAATATGATAAAACAGTGAATAAATATAAAAGCAACAACATTGAAATACGGGTGAAACACAGACGTCCCAGCAGGCTTTTACATACAGAAACAAAACTCACCGATGAGAAAAAATACAAATAACCTAGAACTTAATTTAAGGTATTTCATCTTCTCAGAGTGTATACATATTCATCTGCATTCAGAAGTCACTGTTTCACTTTTCACATTCCGTCACTGAAAACTAATGGAACCTTTTTCAGTTAACCTCCTTAAATAAAAATGAAGTTTCAGTCCCATTTCATAGAAGCACCTTGTGTGTCATTTTTTGTGAGACTTTTTTCATTCACTTTGTTCAGTGATCAATACAATGATAATAAAACCACAGGAGACGCTGACTCCTAGAACTGAACAGGAGCTCCAGAAAATGAAAGGACTCATAGAAGAATATTGTCCACACAGGGTTTTTTAGCATCATTCACAGTAAATTCTGTATTGTAAAAATGGTAACTTTTTTTCTGGCATAATTAGGGATGACAAGTTGTAAAGATTTAGAAGTATAAATGATCAGCGTTTAAAGGCGCAACGTGTAATGACTGGCGAACCTGCTCCAAACAGGCAGGGGGCAGCATTTCCCATCTGCTACTGGGTCCATACAATCTTATTTTACAATTATAAACTGACTAACAGCAGGGTAAGAATATGCACAAATTCAATCAAACTTCTGAAACTCTGAAAGGCAGTCAAAATACCACTGCTATCTTCCAGTGTGGCGTTAGCCTACAGTTTACGCTGTGTTTACTATGCCGCTAACCGTCGGATGTACGGTCCGTGTACGCTTTGATAGTTTGTTTATTGGCTCAAAGTGGCAGAAACAAGATAACCAGTGTTTGAGAGACCCCTTGATTGATGCTGCAGACCCACCTGAAAGCCTCACTAGTAGCTAAATGTATTTGTGTATGTGTCCCTTGCAAGTGTCACTAAAAGGTCTTTAAAAAGCTTTCTAATGCCCAGAAGTTTTCATCGCAAAACATGTATTCACAAATATGAATAGTGAGTTTGAGATACGATTTTCCTCCGTAAATCACACTGCCAACCAGAGCAGCAATTGGTTGCGAAGTGCAAACCCATCTTCACGTCTGTTCGTGGACCTAAATGGACCCTCTTTGGACAAATTAGATCCAGTGCATTTCATGATAACCTGGCTCAAAGCAGGACATCGTCTCTTCTCTTTTTGGATACCAGGACGGCAACTAGAAGAAGCCGAGCTGAGGTCTGTGTGTTGGGTTCGAGCGAGTCCGGTTGGTGAGAGAGAGAGAGGAGTGTGCGCTGTTTCTATTCTGCTGTAAGGCGTAGTTGTTGTGTGAGAGGCCTTATTGTTAACGATAAGGCCTCCCTCAGTGATGTGCTAGCAAAGTCTATCTATAAATCTTCTATATTACATATCGAGACCCACAGAAAGCCATCGGGTATCTCGTAGACTGGACAAAACGACTATTTGTATTTTCATTTCGGAGGGGGGTGCAGGCCTTCAGTTAGCGCTTAGCTGTATAGCAACTCGCATATGGCCACCGCAAGCCCTGGCGCTGGGAGTCAGCGGGGTGGCAGTGACTCCCGGGTTTGATCTGTGTTTCATTACAATACATCTCAGTCACACATTTCACACTGTGTGGTGTATAACAATAAGGCTATGAGGTGACTGAGGGATCAGATCGAAAACTGCTTTACCAGTGAAGCATAAAGATGAGTGGAAATCAGAACTAAAAACGTGTTGGCTCAATTTGATTTTTTAAGTATTTCAAATGTAACATTTCGACTGAAGAAAAAGAGTAGTTTGACATAACTGAATTTCAAGTTTTATAAATCAGAACTTACAATGCTATACTATGACTTTGTTGACTTTGTTTTGACATCCTAAACGAGGACCTTTACTATAGTATTATAGTAAAGTTTAAACTTTTTTAAGGCTGTTTTTTGACATATTTTTCATAACTTTTTATGACTTACTATACAATGACTTATTTCAAAATACCTTACTATGACTTTTTATGACTTACTATACTATGACTTTTTATATGGCATACTATACGATGACTATATGGCATACTATACGATGACTTTTTGGACATACTATACTATAAGGCTCTTTTTTGTGACATTTCTAGGGCTTATGACTCTTTATCATATACTTTACTGTGACATTTTTATCACTTAATGTCACATTAAGTGACTTCTTTCAACATACTTTACTCTGATTTTTTAAGGATATTTTTAAGGCTTAACATAGTATGACTTTTTTATTACTTTTCATAACATACTGTACTATGAATTATTTTAACATACCTTATCTGTAGTATTTTAACATACTACAGACATTTTAATTATAAACTATACCATAATTTTTTTATGTAATGCTGACTTTGTTGACTTTTTTATGGCACACTACAGTATGGCTTTTTTTGATGTACTATAGAATTATTTTTTTCTCGTCACACTATACTCTGACTTGTTATGCCTCTTTTCAGACATACTATACTGTGACATTTTTTCTGACATTTTTGCGATTTACTTTAGTATAACTCTTTACCATATACTTTACTTGATGTTTTATGACATACTATACATAAAATGACTTTTTCAACATAGTACACTCAGACTTTTGTTGACATACAATACTATAATTTTTTAGCCATACCATATTATGACTTTGTTAAGGCTCTTTTGTGACATACTATACTGTGACATTTTTTGGGTCGTTTTTTTGGGCTTACTTTAGTATGAATCTTTATCATACACGGGGTTGGTTTTGTCACATGACACATGGGTGGGTGTGTTATATGCATCGCACACGCAAAGATGACAGGAGGCTGTTGACCATGTTAATTACGTGTCTTTAAAGCAAAGCTTTTTAGCATAATCAGTGTGGAAATATAAAGGAAACATTTCCAATGAATACACCCCGTATAAGTGAGGCGTCCCTTTGAGCCGTTATGAAACACCTAGATGTTCAGTTTGTCTCCTGCCTCTCCCTCCCTCATCGTGTCTGTTTTTGACACATCAAAAGATCATGAAAGATTCAGTAGCTCCTTTCAGGCTTTTTCACAACACGCTCCTTAATCTCTTCTTGTCTCCAACAACGGTTGAATACAAAGAATAGGCTTGATGAGGATGAATTATGCAGTTGCCGATCTGTTCTTTGTGGTTGTGTTTGGTCCGATGGGCAGGATGATAGGCTGTGTCAGGTCAGACAGAACAAGAAGAATGGAAGGTTTCAAAGGAGTCGTTGGACATAATGTGTTAAACATGTATGGCTATAAAACCACTGACTTTGTGGCGTAGTCTGACTACTTTGACATTATTTTGCCCCTAGAAATCATTCCAAAAATGCTCACAATCTCGGAACCCATCGGCCATCAGTCCGACAAGGATTCAGTCTCTGATGGGCTGCTCTTTATTTACAGTCCAATAAACAACTTTTGATATGAGATTGGAGTTGGAGCTGGAGTTTCACAAGTAGCCAGGTTACAAGTTAATTCAAAACTAATAAAAAGGACAATCATCGTCAGACGATATAGCTGGTGGGTTCCCGAGATTTCATTTTGTCCAATGGGCTCCGCATCTTTTGCTATCCACACAATGTTTACCTGCAATCAACCAAAGCCTGATCTAACGGGATTGGTTAATACTACTCGGACTATAAACGGAAACCAGAACGCTTCCGATACCAAATTCTTGCCCCGCTTTCTACAGATTCTGCACACAAATGTAGACTCTGTTCACAGAGATTACGATCTAATTGCTTTCATTCAATTTATTCAGAATTAGGGTCCAATTTTACTGTCAACTCAAAGTTGGCCTCAAGAGCTTTATAAAACCAGGTGATGGTAAATGGATTGTACAACACTGTTCTGGTCTTTCCGACCACTCAAAGCGCTTTCACACTACATATCATCATTCAACCATTCACAACCATTCAAACACTGATGGCAGGGGCTACCATGTAAGGTGCCACCTGCCTGTCAGGACTAACTCATTTTGGGGTTAAGTGGGGTTAAGTGTCTTGCCCAAGGACACATGCGACTTATATACACAAAATCCAACATTTCATCTCAAGCCATCAAGGGGTAAAAAGGTTCAATCTCCCTCTTTTGGACCCACGTCTCTGAATCGACCCTTTGACAAAGTTGAGTTGTGCTTCATAACCTCCCGCCTGGGGAAAACAGTGATGCCACCAGCTCACAGGTGTCACTCTAAATGGTTTCTGATTTTGTATTAGAATGATCTGCCAAGAAATGCAGTCCATATTACTAAACTCACAGAACTCACAGAAAATAGTCCTCCTTCTGGTTGGAGGTTTACCTCCCCAGAGGTGGCAGTCATTCGCTTTTCAAATTTTGCCTGTCACCTTCTTTTCTTATAACAGCTTATATTAACTGTGTGTTGTCTTCGTGTCTTGTTTATTAGGTTTGTACATGACTTTGCTGCTCTGGGATGCTCTTAAAGCCCATCTCTACCATCAATACAGAATACACAGAACCGTCAGAGTGTGTGGAATGAAAATTAGTTTAACAACCATTAAGCTTCCAAAGGGGTAAAAGAAGAAGAGGTTAAATTCTACTCTCTAAAAGCAAGCACAACACTCATATACTGTCCTCTCAGACACTGAGACGTTACACTGACTGTCCACAGTGTGGAAGTGTTTGCTCAACCAAGAATATGTCTCGCTGTGGCTGCTGGGACAGAAACGTCAGTGCAATGATAGTGTCAGCAGTACACAATCTCAATGATGACAACACATACTGGAAATGACCTCACCGGTCAAAAGAGGATTTTAATGGATTTTAATGCAGATTGAAATCACTGTCAAACTGTGGTAACAAATAAAAACACGGTCTAGATATCAGATAGTGCTTCTGAGATGAGAAAGACATTTTGTAAGAGCGCCTTAAATTTCTTGGAGTACAGTTTGTCTTTCTGCGCCATGGCAGGACATCAGGTTTCCCACTAAAACCCTACCTGCTGCCCCACAATTCAAAACTCCCAGAGTGCCAAGCTTCCTGCTTGTTTGTGGTAACCAGACAAAGGTTTCCAAATGAGCGTAGCGGTAATGTTTTGGAGACACGAAAGACTCCAAAACTAAAGAGTAGTTGGGGAAAAAAACTTGGGGAAAGCTGCTAAATGTGTTCTGATACAAAAGAAATAGAAGGCATTAAATTACATCAAACAACACTAAACTCAAACAGTAAAGCAAAGGTTGGCACTGTTGAGAAACTATCATGAATATGCTAGTTTAAAAAAACTATCCAACC